AGAAAGGCCAGGCAACGTGTAGCAGCAGTTCTACCTCATGTCCTGTCGGGTCACTGAGTCAGAATCGGCACGATGGCAGTGAGTTTGGTGAGGTCATGTAGAACTCTACAGGTTACTGGCAGCCATGTTGGCTTTGCTTTGAACAAATAGGTTCTTGACAGAAGAAAAATGTTTCTTCTGTTTTAATCTGTGATTGCTTATTATGTACTTGTTTCCTTCCTCCCTTCTCCACTCATTCCCTGACTCCCTCACATCTTCTGTCTCTCCTTCCTTCCTTCCTTCCTTCCTTCCTTCCTTCCTTCCTTCCTTCCTTCCTTCCTTCCCTTTTCGTTTGCCTTTCCCACTATGACCGTTGGACTGTGCTTTCTTTACCACTGGGCACTCTGTGATGATCATAACTCTTGGCTCAAGGTAGGTGGTCAGATGTTATTTTTTGAGTGAGTGAGGAAACTGTGGTCCAGAAAGGGCAAGTAACATTCTCAAGGTCGTGTAGTTAGTTCACAGCCGACCCAGAGGCAGGCTTTTCCATTACTCGCCCCACCACAGCCCACTCCATCCTACCAGCTGCATGGAATCAGATGTAATATTTCTTAGATTGTATTAACAAATTATTATTGTAAAACATCTCCTTAATGTGTTACATTAGTAACCACAACGTTATTAGTAACTGTGAGCGGAAACCCTGGGGGAGTTTTTCTCCTTCTAGCCATAGTGATTCCACCATTTTATTTACTATTTCAGTCTCAAGAAAGTTACTGCTAGAGGCTCACAAATATGAGTTACTACAGTACTGTTACTAAAACAGAAAATTCAATGAAACCAGGGACTATGATACCATCAACAGCCACGAAGACACTAGTGTGTGCACGTGAAGCCCCGTGAATTGAAGCATGATTGCAATGGGTAGTAATGACCCTTCTGACTGGAGCGCATTAAACTCAAAGGCTCAAAGCAACACCCTCAAGTCCACTCTGACTCATCGCAAACCTGCAGGATAGAGTGCAATGCCCTGTGCGCTTCCCAGACTGTCCGTCTTACGGGAGCTGAAGCCCCGTGTTTCTCCCTCAGAACGGAGGGTGGGTTCACACTGCTGACCTCTGGCTCGCGGCCCAACTGGTAACCCACGCTGCCAACAGCAGTCCTGCGGGCTATATGAGAAGGTTCCAAACACAAATTGGTTAAGAGTTCTAGCCTTGTAGCTATCTTGAGACATGTCAGCTGGACATAGGAAATCGGTGGGGTATTTTGCTGTTGCTACACCTAGCTACAATGACATTTTTACTAAAGATGCAGAATTTCTACTGCGACAGTGCACCCACATTGGTGTGTACCACTATGGTGTCACCTCCCTGTGACAGTATGATGGTGCAGTGCACACCCCCCACACCCCTGCAGTGCCATCGTTTTCAGACACTCTTTACTCAGCAAAATGTCTGAAAGGATATATGCCAATCTGGTGATAAGGATTAGGGGTAAAGATAAGAGTGAAGATTTTTGATACTTTGTATAGTTTGAATCTTTTTTTTTTATGATGACGTATGCTATTTTTCTGATTAAAGACATAATAGCTATGTATTTGTTTATTAGATTTTGTTGAATCCATAGATGCACATATTTGGCACACCGATGTATAGACTTGATGTATGATGATTTTAAAATACTGTCTGTGTGCATATGTATGTATGTATCTCATGGTTCCCAAGGAGAGAGTGTGCTCTGATGTGGGGGAGTGGGTGTGCGGCACGAGAGGGAAAGCTGGCACCCAGTGTGCCAGCAAGCCGATGAGAGAGCAGGTGCAAACGACCGTGAGCATTGGGCACTGGACGTCCGCTCCCTGGAGACACCCCTGAGTGTTGATGAGGCAACATCACGGACAGGAAAGAGGCTGGGAAAGAGGTCCAGGAGTGAAACCGGAGGCTCTCCCAGGCCAAGCAGCATTTCTGCCTCGGGGCCTTCAACATGCCCCTAGAATGCTTCTTACAGGACAATGTTCTTCTATTTTTACCTATCTGCTTTACGGCAAGTCTTGATTCTTCTGTCTCAATGGCTCCACTCTTTTTATTCCCTAGTGCTCTTTACTGGCTAATTAGCACCCGAGGGGCTTCAGCAGGCCGTTAACATCACTGTCCTGTGGCTTTTGGCTAGTAGTAAAAGTGCTTTCTACAGGGCTTTGTTATGTCACATAATCTCTCTTTCTCTCTCTCTCTCACCCCTTGAAAATGATCTGACTATAAGATCACTTTGGAACTTACTCAGACCATGCAAGAGATGAATGACATAGTTTCCACTAAATTCTCACTCGGTGTAATTTGAGTTTGACTTTCTCGTTTCTCTACAAGCCCTGAGAGCACCTGGTCAGCACAGCCTTTGGGCACTTGACGTCACTTGGAATGATGGCCTCTTCCTGGCATCGTGCCAATGCGCTTCTTCTGGTGTCAGCTCAAGGGAATGTCCGGCAGGTGAAAGCTCAGAAGAGGGGGAAAATGTTGTCGGAAACAACCAGATCAACCCATATTCTAAAGCAACTCGGGGCAGAGTGCAGTAAAAGCCAAAGAATCTGAGAAAGCTCAAGACACTTCCAGAATTAGTGTTTCTTTGATTCTTAAAATGAACTCCTAACCCTTTTAAAAATTCTTGTGGCTTATGCTCTTGGCTAATTTGAAAGGCAAAGTGCTTTATCATTGTTTCTTGATAGCATTTCTTTGATTACTGGTGAGAAGGACTTTTGTTAGGTTTCTTGGGTGGTTTACTTCTGTTCTTGCTTCGCAACACTGAAAGAATTCACGTGACAGAGCACTTTTGTAAATCCAAGTGACTTTTATGAGAGAAAGGGAAGTTTCAGGGATTACAATCTCAGGAAGTACACGCTATCTCTGGGAAGCGTGCAAAGCCGCTTGGAGGGGACCATGGGAAAGTGCGTGGCTGAAGATGGTCATTTCAGGGGTGCGTGGAAAAACACGTGGAAGATATATCGGAACAGGAGTGTGTAACCAGAGTACAGACCCAAGAGCAGGATCCAAGAGCAGGCAATCCCAAGAGACCAAGAGAATGCAGTGGTCTGAGGACCCACAGGAGCTCCATGCATGTGGGACAGATCCCCACCCTCCGTTTGCAGAGCACACCCGAACAAGAGAAGACAGGGCTGCCTGCCTGTGGCCTGGCTTGGAAGGGGGCAGGGGTAGGGGGGCGCGGAGGGCCATGGTTGAAGGTATTGGCCAATCTTATTGGCTGAGGGTAGGTGCATCGTGTGATGCCCTGTCACTGGTGCCTAGTCTGTGAGCCCAGGTGTACCTCCCACCTGGGCTTAGATGACTTGGCCTGAGCGTGCTTGGTTCTGGATTTTTCCATGGGTGTCTAATTAGTGTGCTGGATTTCTTTCCAACCTCCTTATTGTGGCATGGACAGCTTATTTCCTGTTTAGCACAGACATTAGGGGAAGACCACCCCCCTTTGTCCCTAATCTAGTGACCTGTCACTTTAAAAGCATGTTTATTGTTATTTCTTTCTCAGGGTGTGTTGTGTGACTTGATATTTGTGAATTTTGCCCATTATTCTTTTTCCTTATAAAATATAGAAGTACTTTATAAATTAAGGATCGTAACCTTTTGTTTGCCATGTTTATCATAAATACATTTCTTGGTTTGACATTTATCTTTTAGGTTGTTCTATGATGTTTCAGACTCAAGTGGTTTTAAATTTTAATGTAGAAAAATCTATCCCTGTTTTCCTTTGGGATTTCAACTAATGCTTTCGTCGCCGCCCCCCCCCCCCACGCCATGCTTAGTAAAGCATTCCCCACTCTGCAATCAGATAAATTTATACCTATGTTTTCTGCCAGTTAAAAATATTAGGGGGGGCGGAATTTAACTCTTTCATCCTTCTCAGTTGCATAGAACATAGTATGAGAGATAGTTAAATTAATGGTATTCACAAAGAGTTGTTTTTCTTATTTAGCTGATTGATGGAGTCACCCTTTTCTCATTGACGAAACGTAAAACATTCCTTGAGTAAGGCTCACATAAGCTCATTGGGCAAATCAGAGAACATAGATCATTGCAATGATGAGAGAGGACTTCATGGGTGTTATTCCACTCTGAGCTAATGCGTGTGTGCAGGTAGGTCTGTCCTTCTGGGCCTTTCCTTCTAGGGATGTGTGCATGCACTTCCCCTCCAAAGGGGATCATGGAGTCACCTTGTTTTGTCCTCTGAGGTTTTTCTACCCTATACTGTATCACGCCCATCTTTTCATGTCTGTCAGTCAACGTACAACCCCATGTCCTAATTAACTTGTGATTGCATTACACTGTACATACAGAGAAGTGTGCCTTTCATAAATGTACAGGTGGAGGAGTTTTTAACCAGCTGACCACACACTCATGTAACGGCCTCGGAGATCAAGCAAGAGGACACCACCAGTCTCCCAGAAGCCCCCTCTTGGCTCTTGCCAGTCACGCTCCAAGGCTGGCGTGATCTTCCATCCTGCGGCCCAACAGTAAAGACTTGTTTTCCAGCTCCACTTGTAATGGCTATTTAGTATTCTACCCCACCTATGAGGGAGCTTCAAAAAAGTTCTGGAAAGAAACAGAATGAAGAGAGAGTGGAAAATTTCCACAAGCTTATTAAATTCCCTTCGTACTGGTATCATAATATGTTTAGCTCATTTTGATGCATTTGGAGGTTGTATCTGATTTCCCTGTTCTCCGTTATGTTTTGGGAGGTCCACCTGGTACTCGACCCCTGACCTAAAGGCTGATGGTTCAAATCCACCCAGAAGCTCTGTGGACAAAGGAGACTGGGGATCTGCTCCTGTAAAGATTGCAGCCCAGAGAACCCTGCAGTGCAGCTCTTACTCCGGCCTACGTGAGGGTCTCGTGAGGTGGAAGCAACTGATGGCATTAAAAAAAAAAAAGAAACAGCACAATGTTGTCAGGAGAGACCAGTCCCTGAAGAAGGGCATCATGGTTGGGAAAGCAGAGGGACAGCAAAAGAGAAGGTGGCCCAGGGCAAGATGGATTGACATGGCAGCTGTAACAACGCATGTAAGCTCAGAAACAGCTGTGGGGCTGGTGCGGGCCGGGGCAGGGTTCTGTGCTGTTGGGCATGGGTCACCACGGGATGCACCTAACAGAAACGAATCATTTAGATTTTTTTTCCTTAGAAGGAATTATGGTAGTGGACCATGTATATCAAATAATATTCATAATGATTATTAGCAAGACAATGGACACGAGTCGCCAACTTGCTATCTCTGAGTGCTGATTTGGGGTCACCAAGCCCCCTTCTTTTGGACTGCGCCCTCTTGTTACGCCAGCTTCTCCAGGACTCCCTAGCCGATGAGTACAACCCACATAAAGACAGAGCTGACGCTTGCCCCCAACCCAGTTAAAGCTCTGGAAAGTGTATCATTCAGGTCCATGAACAGTCAGTCCTCTCCTGCTCCTCCTCTCCTGTCCAATCCCTCGGCGTACTCTCCCCAGAACACTCTCGCATCCCCTAAGAACTGACTCCCCTCCCCCACCCCAGCGGGAAGAATCCATCACCAGCTTGGTTCAGCGCCCAGGTCTTGTGGAATGCTGTGGGCTCTCGCTGCATTCAACACAGGCCGTGCTGCTCAGCCACATGGAGACGTCTTCAGCAACACCACCTGTTCTTGTCCCCTTAGTGCCACTGCCTATGCCCCGCCCCGTCCCCAGGCGGGGTAGTGAGGAAGAGCAGAATCTAGCAGATACTGTGCATCCTTCGTCTTCCGCCCATGTGACCCCCCCTCCCCCCAATTTGTGATTTCACCCAGTTATCAGATGCCCCGCCCCAGGCATATCCACACTTAAAGGATGAGCAAGCTGTTTTCCAATTCCTCTATGATCCTCTTAAAAACCAAACCATACTGACACCAAATCCATTGCCGTCCGGTCAGTTCTGACTCATGGAATTTATGATTAGTACCATTAAAACTGTATAGGAGCCACGCTGGAGCATCGGGCCCAGCGTTAGATGCTAACTGGAAGGTGGCAGTTCGAACCCACCAACTGCTCCCTGGGAGAAAGATAAAACCGTCTACCACCAGATTGACAGTCTCGGAAACCCCGGAGAGCAATTCCACGCGATCCTGTAGGGTCACTGTGAGCTGCATTCGACTGGACAGTAGTGGGCTTGGTTTTTTATTTTGAAACTGTGTAATATGTTGATATCCATGGGGTACATTTTCATTTATTGTTCTGGTTTACATTTCTTTAAAGGTATTCTTCCAGTAAACATAAGTATCATTTTTCAACTTTCAAAATTAAGAATTGCTTGGGATAGCATCAAACCAGGAACACTAAGGGCATAATAAACTACGTGAAGTGTCTGGGCTTCTATGCCTATCTGAATCTTCCTTCCCATCTCCTCGGGCAGAATTTGGGGAGATGTATAGGCAGGGCAGAGAGCGGTTCACATGAGCGTTGAGTGGGCTTTGGGAAGCTGGTCAAGCACTGCTAGCTCCAATGCTGGAGACATAATTGGAAAAAGAGGCAGGCTAACTTTGAGCCAGCTCTGGGCATCTTCCAGGAATCCTTGATCTTTATTTTTTCATGGCAGCGGATGAGTGTATGCCTAAAGAGCAAATATGATGAAAGCCGAAAATAAGCTGATTGGGTACATTTGCCAGACAGGAGAAGTTGTGGTTGAGCCCTAAAGCCAAAGATCTTGGAAAGAGGGGTGCATTGAGGACAGGTAGGCGCATGTTGTGACCATGGCAAAGTAAAGAAGAGCACAGGGCATCGGGTGACTAGGGTGCAGGTCTGTGTCCTGTGGTGAGTAGTTCATGCTCTGGAGTCTTGTTTGCTCCAAGCATGCTTGCTGGATGCCCTCTTTGGCGCTCATGGGCTGGGTTTCTACGGAGTGTTGGAGCATGTACTAGAATATGCAGGCATTGTGTGACTGGAAAACTCAAAGATGTTAAACATCTCCATTGTAAAACAAAAGGGACATATTTATAGGACAAAGTGGTAGTGAACTAAGAATTAAAAAGGCCATAGGGGTGATCCCTGCCAGTCAGAACCAAACCAAACCAAAACTCACTGTTAGGGAGTCTTTTCCAACTCATAGGGCCCCCATAGGTCAGAATAGAACTGTGAGTTTCTAATACTGTACATCTTTCTGGGAGTGGAAAGCCTCCTCTTTCTCCTGAAGAGTAGTTGGTGGTTTTAAACGGCTGACCTTGTGGTAATGCCACTGTGTCCATTCCAACTCTTGCTCCCTAGTGTTCCTGAGACTGTGCACATTTACGGGACAGGCAGCCTCATCTTGCTCCCTCGGACCGACTGGGGAGTTTGAAACACCAACCTTGCGCTTAGCAGCCCAACACTTTGCTCCAGAGGGCTTTCAAAGGTTGGTTAAAAAAATTTTTTTTATTGGCATATAGCTCACATATGGTACAATTTATTCAATTATTTTAAGAAGATTTGTACAATCATCACCACAATAAATTTCAGAACATCTTCTTCTCATACTCATTGTTCACCACTTAAGTTCTGATACTGTTCTCTCATTTTTTCCAAGGTCCCGCTAGGACAGCGGTTCTCAACCTGTGGGTGGCGACCACTTTGGGGGT